AGAGGAATGCACACTCGTTTCATTGAGCTTGGCTTATGCCCACATAATTTTTCACCAATGTTTTCAATTCGTAATTTTAGTCTCCCTATGTTATGTATGCATTCGACGAAAACAACCCAGTGTACAGTAATTTTTATACATGACAGCTGCCGAGAGGACGTTCAAACGTAAACCTAAAGTAGACCACATTTTCAAATCTACCCCCCCCCCCCTTTCCTTTTTCTCCACCCAACCTTACTATTTCTAAGTTTCAGACAAACTTCTGGGTTTTCGCTGCAGAAAGAAATCAAATTTGTAAAGACGTTGAAATTTCAAGATTTTAGGCTGGATAAGGCTAAAATGGCAACTCTGAGGTGGGAAATCTAAGGGTCACTCACTTGTCCCAGTCAGGCAGGTTTTTCCGGTAGATGGAGTCCAAAGGCAGGACTTGCTGTTTGCCTTGGGTGCGGTGGTACAGCTCCTTAGCCTGATGAGCACACACACATTATTTTTTTTTAAAAATAGGATCAACAAATGTACACAATAAAAACACATAAAAATCATTACACACACATGCACATAACATTTTTAATAGGAACTATAAACATATACCAAAAAAAACACACACTTAAGTCATTACACACACATATATCATTTTTAATAAGAACAACACACATACACAATAAAAACACATAAATCATCACACACACACATAAAAGTTTTTTAATATGATCAACACATGTGCACAATAAAAGCACACACAAATCATTACAAAAACACATATCATTTTTAATGGGAACAACGCAGGCCACAAATAAAAACACATAAATCATTACACACAGAGAAAATACACACATACAAGAACACACCTTAGCTGCTCCCACAGTAACCACACAGTCTATATCGGCTAGCATATGTCATGATAAATAACTCATACATACACACACGTGCACACACACACACACAAACACACACAATGCACCCACAAAATGACACACACAAACACACACATAGACACCCACCTTAGAAGTGCTCAGAGTGACCACACAGTCCATATCAGCCAGCATATGCCAGGACAAGACCCGGGCAATATCGTCCTGGTGAACCAGAGCCAGGTGGGCGATCTGTCAACAGTAGAACAAGACAAAACGCTTGTTAATTGGTCGCTTTTAAGCACAAGGGGGCCATCCCGAAAAATGCTGTTTTGAGAAAATCGAAGGTACTTTAAAGTTTTTGGCCCTTGTTCAATTTCTTTAAAATACAAGGAGAGTTTTCCGAGTTTCTCTATAACCAAACAAATATTACACACCAATGAAACCAAACTTCTCCAACAGGTAGGGCAATGCCCACTTTTGGTGTAGTTCAAGATGTCTAGAAACCCCCGAAATCTGGGTTAGCCCGCTTGTCCTTAAAAGCGACCATTTATAGCCACTCATTACACTACATCTGACTGGATGGCTTATGTGACTTCACAAAACCTCCTTCAGCCAGCCTTTAAATCCCATATATCATCTCAGAGAGAGAGAGAGAGAGAGAGAGAGAGAGAGAGAGAGAGAGAGAGAGAGATAGAGAGAGAGAGAGACAGAGAGAGAGAGAGACAGAGAGAGAGACAGAGACAGAGACAGAGACAGAGACAGAGAAAGAGAAAAGAGAAAAAGAGAGACACAGGGAGAGAGTAAAAGAGAGGGAGAAAGAGAGAAAAAGAGAGACAGAGAGAGAGAAAAAGAGAGGGAGAGAGAGAGAGAAAAAGAGAGAGAAAGAAAGAGGAGGGGGGGGGGAGGGAGGTGGAAGAAACTATATATACACACTTACACTCTCACCAACCCACTCCCCCCCACACACAAGACAAACACACTCACATTCAGGAAGGAATGGAGAAAAAAAACCCCAAAAACCCTCAACAACTAAGACAACTGACCTTTCCCAGTATGTCAGGGTCAGGGTCAGCGGGGGTCAGACCACACGACCTGCGGGGGGACTTGAGGAGCTGGTCGCGGTCCCTGGTTCTGACAGCAATCAGCTTCTCCACCGTGTCCACCTGCAACACCAGACATTCAGCAAGATTTAGTTTTAGTAGAGGTTTTACGGCGCTCGCAACTGCATAAGATCATATGAGCGCCAAGGGGTGGATGTCAACAGAGAAGTCCAAAATGGGGAATCAGGCTTACTCTGCTCACCTCTCTAGCCTCAACAGCACAAAGTCTGCTTCGACTATCAAGGCTTTACGGAAATAGCGGGTCACAAGAGAGTGACAAACATACAAAAGAAGTAGAGGAAAATGATGATAGTAAGGATGAGGAAAGAAAAAGCAGCAGTTCCCCCAACGTTGTTCCAGTACAGTATGAGCATGACATTGATAAATCAGCCAATTTACAATTCTACTGCGCACAATAACATGTTAATTTCCCCCATTTGGGAAATTCAGCAACATTACAGGCCCAGCAACAAAGTGTACACTAACCATCTACCTCTTCATGCTTTAAATGCCATGTAGTGCTGGTTAAAATGTTAAACAAATAGACACACATGACAGAGAGTAAGTAAAAAAAAAAAGCAGGATCTTTCAGAGGTGCTGTCCAATCTCCTCTCCACCCCCGTCCCCCCAAAAAAACAAAACAAAACAAAACAAAAAAACCCTTTTAAAAAAAATAAAATTTTAATTTAAAAAAAAAAAACCCACACACACACCAAAAAAAAAGGAGCAGAAAAGAAAAGAGAAGTGTAGAGAGAAACAAAGATACAAGTTTTAGTTTCAGTGAGTTTTACAGCACTTGCAGCACAAATAGATTACATATAAAAGCAGAAGATAGAGGTGTAACTAGGGAGCAAACAAATTTTTTTTAAATAAAAAAAGAAAGACAGAAGGTAAGATAGAACACAGCGTAGAGGAAAAGAAAGAAAAAGGATGACAGAGCCAGGCGGGTCATGTGTTGTGCGTCCCCCCACCCGCCCACTCGTTCACTCACCGACTGTAGCTGGTTGCTGGGAATGTTCTGTTTTCTCAGCTCCGAGCGCAGGGTCTGCTCTGTCTTCTGGGCCTCATGGACGGATGCTGTGATGAGCGGCGGTTGAATGGGGGTGGACCAAGGAGGGGAGGAGGGGAGGTGACAGAAGTGTAGTATTCATGAAAAACAAAATAATGATAATAAACATCATCACCATCATCATAAACCCATATATGTCCACGCCCTACAGCATGCTCTATGTGCTTTATTACTATCATACCCTGGGATACCCTAGACAATTCAGAAACATTCTCGGCTTCCTAGACAGTATACCGTGCCAGCAGCTGATTAAGCGCTTAAACAACAAACTAAAACTATCTTTCACAGACATCAAATACACCCACCTACCCTCACACACACCTATTCTCTTAGTCTGTCAGATAGAATGGGTACCCCAGTATAAGGTCTCTCTCTCTATTTGTCTGCGCATCAGTATCTGTCTCACCTCAGAGCTCCTGCACCAGCAATTGCTGTGACGGTCAAATATAACCCTGTAGGATTGTATCCTGCTATACATCTGTTTGTCAGATTGTTTGAGTATGCTATTATAGTGTTGGATTTTTTTCTGTCAGTCTGTCTTTCTGTCTGTCTGTCTATCTGTCTATCTGTCTCACCTCTGAGCCCCTGCACCTACAGTTGCTGTGTGTCAAACATATCTCTGTATCCTATACATCTGTCTACTTGTCATATTGAATGAGCATGCTATTATGGTGTGTGTGTCTCTCTCTAATTTTTTTCTGTCAGTCTGGCTATCAGTTTGTCTGTATGTCTGTGTGTCTGTCTCACCTCTCAGCTCCTGCACCAACAGCTGCTGTGTATCAAACATGTCCCTGTAAGCCTGTATCGTCCCCTGTAGCTTGTCCCTCTCCTTGGACAGAGAGGCCATCTGTTGCTGCTTCCGCGCATCTGTGGGGAGGGAAGGTTGATGAGAAAAAAACTTACTACTACTACCACCATCACCACCACCACTACTACTACTACTACTAAAAACAATAACAACAACAATAATAATAATTATAACAATAATAACAACATAAACAAAAATA